CGAACTATAATAGTTTATACTGGAAGTTCTTAATTAATAAAAAAAAAATAATTTTATTTATACACCGGCTCAAATTAGTGTAGTTGCGGCACTGTGTACTTAGTATATTTAGTATTATATTAAAGCAAATTCTTATGTAGATAATTATTCAAATATATATGTATTAGAATTATTAAGTTAAAAATACGATGTAGGGCCTTGTATTATATTTTAATACATTAACTATTTAATTTAATTATTTTATGAATTTTTAACTACAAAATAATTTTCATATACTCATGATTTTTCTATTTGATGTTAAAATGCTTATAAAAAAAATTTGTGCCTATGTATTTTAAATATTTTAAAGCAGTAATAATTATTTTATACACATTTTACGAAAAAAAGCTGAAAATGCTAAGATAACTAAAATTAATTTTATATTTAAATAATTTATTTTTATGTTTTTAAAAAAGGTAACTTGTCTTCAGTTGAAATTGTAGAATCAGATAAATTAACATTATTGACTCCAACTAAAACTTATGTAAAATCTATAAGTGATGCAGTAGAATTAATATTCCCTAGTCTTTTATCAATTACATCCATGCCACAAAAAAATAAAATATCCAGATTAATTGATATGCTAAGTCAGAATTTAAAAAGAAAAATAAATTATGAAATTGATAATGATTCACCCAGAAAAATTAAACTAAATCAATCAATAAAACAAAAGTCAAAAATTAATCGTGATAAAAACAGTCATATTTCGAAATTAAAAATGTCAGTTTCTAAAATTAAGACCCATAATAATATAAACAATGTAATACATACACACAGATTCCCATCTTGCAATTCTAGGGCTTTGGTCACTATGCAGCTTAAAAATAAACTTCAACCATGGTCGAAAGAAGAAATAAATCTATATTTAAATCTTTTTTATAAATCGCCGACTGCTTATAAATTTTTAAGATTACAAAAAATTAATTTACCAGTGCCTTCGATAATTCGACGATGGATTGGACAGTCTAAATATTTACCGGGTTTTGATGATTTATTTTTAAGTCATATTAAAAAAAAATTTGAGCAAAAGTGTTATAAGGAAAAAGCGTGTACTGTTAGTTTCGACGAAATATATATTAAAGAGTTTCTAGAATATTCCAAGGACTATGATTTTATTGAGGGATTTCAAGACTTGGAATCTTATGGTAGGTCGAATAAAAGTGCTAATGTATTTTAGTGTTGATGGCTCGTGGTATTTACTCCAAGTGGAAGTTTCCTATTGCTTATTTTCTTACACACTCGAACAATAATAAAACAATTCTAAAAAAAAAATTAATAATCGATGTTTTAAACAACTTAATTGATGTTGGTTTGTGCTCGAAACTTATAGTATGCGACCATGGCACAACCAACCAAAGCGCTTTGAAATTATTAGATATTTCTGAAGATAATCCGTTTTTTTTGTTAATGGTCATAACATTTTTTCTATATATGATGTTCCTCACTTACTCACTTACTCACTTATTGAGACTTGCTTTCAAAAAAACGATAAAATATTTTCATTTAAAGACATAAAAAATACATATCAGTTGGACAAATTAAATAATAAAAGTAAAGCTCTTTTTAAAATCACAGATGCCCATATCCACCCTTCTTCTTTTCAAAAAATGCGAGTAAAATTGGCATCTCAATTACTGAGAAAATCTATGGCAGCAACCATCTGCACTTGCGTAGCAACTGGTCAACTCCGTATCAAAACTGCAATAGATACTGCAGATTTCGTTCAGTTTATGAATAATTTATTTGATTGTTTGAATAGTAGGTCGCTTTATAACAGTAATCTTTATAAATGTGCATTAACCCACACAGGAAATGTTAAAATATTTTTATTAGACGCTTTAAACATTTTTTCAAATTTAAAAAAAATTAAAAACGGAAAAATTTTGCAACCACCGTGTTTTAAAGGATTCTCGCAAAGTATTAAAGGAATTCTACAGTTTTTCGAAGGAGAAAAATCAATCGACGTTTCATTCATTTTAACAAATCGGTTAAATCAAGATGCTCTGGAAAATGCATTTAGTATTTTTAGACAAAAAGAAGGGTATAATAAAAATCCAACATCTCGTACTATAAGAACTTCTTTTATAAGTAGCTGTATATTTTCCTTATGTGCACCAAAAGGAACTAATTATAAAGAAACGCAAGAAACAGATGACTATAATATAATAATCAACCCAGTAATTAATGTACCTATATCATCTTTAGGTAATGAAATAAATGAAACGGATTCTAGTTGTAGTGATACTGAATCAATTATTTCATCTAATTCATCAACATTGCCTTTTGATCAAAACCAAATTACAAAAGTCACCTTAGAGGACTGTTCAGTAACGTATTTTGCCTAATACCTTGCTTATAAATATATAAAAAAATTCAACTGTCACTTTTGCCAAAATAATATTTTAACTAGTAAAGATTTAAATGAAATAAATCAAATTCTTTTAATAAATAAAAATTATAGTTCTTTTGAAAATGATAATATCGGACTTAAGGGACCCTCTATTTATTTTAATAAAATAATTAACCATAGTTTGGATATTTTTGAAAAATATTTTGAAAATTATTCCTATAAAAAAAAAAACTTCGTTTTAAATTAATGCAAAAAATAAAAGTGGATGTTTTAATAAACCAGTGGTTAAATGATGGTAACGATTTTAATTGTTAAGAACATAAGTTATTCATCATTGATCACTTATTAATATGTAAAATATTTAAAAAAGCTCAAACAATTTATACTACATCACAACTAGCAAAAGTATCAAAATTAAAAATTTTAAATCATATTTAATTTCATAATTCGTTTGCTTTCATATATCTTTGTTATTATATAATTTGTAAATTGTTATGATGATTTGAATTAATATTATTATTATTATTAAGTCTCTTTTTATAATTATTTATTATTTATTATTATATATTTTATATTTATTTGTTTGAGTAATTATTATTCTTATTTAATTTCTGTTTTATGATTATATTTATTTATTTGAATAAATATTATTATAATTTCTGGGTTTTTATTCTTGTTCCTTCATTAGTAATTTAAGCTTATTTTTTAATTTTTTTTTATTTTGTACTTTACCTACCTACTATTTAAATATTATTATATCTTTGCTGTGGAATCGAATGAATGGAAACACCGAAATGGAATGAATATTGTTTTGTAAGGAATATAAATTATTTCTCTTTACCTGGTTTGTAGGGGATATTTTTTAGGAAATAACATTGACATCGGTTTTATATTTTATTATTATTTGATTTTGTTTTGACTTTCAAAATGAAAAAAAAAAAATTGTAATTTTAAATAGTGTTTAAAGTGTTTTGAGACATACATAAACAAATTGATGTCATACTTTCAAAAATATTATTGTTTATTGTTTTTGTAATGGGTGATTTTACTCTTAAGATTACTCAAAATCATTAAAAACATGATTTTGCGTAAATACGTTTTGTCTATGTTGTGCATGGGCCTGAAATAGAAAACAAACGGTGAGCCAACATCCTCACATTCTCTTAAGGGGATTCGATCCGTGTAGTTTTTAAGGGGTTGAATATAGGCAATTTGTCACACGCGTGCGTGAACGCCATGAGAGTGTGTGTGAAGTAAATGATCACTAGTGTGTGTAATTACCCCACTCATACCCTCTTTCAATATGCCATGCCGGGCCATATTAATCTCGTGTTGCTAATCACCAATGCATCAGCGCGGCGGCAGAACCAGTTTTCCAATAATAATCCGTTTTTACTACTAATACTATTGCCGACGTAATATATATATTAATATCTCATAAAAAGTAGACATCTTTTGAATTATACATTCTATTGCAAATGGGTGATATAAGTTATCAATAAAAAATTCAAATTTTCATTTTAAGTATACATAAGAATTGATCTTATAATTAAATACATTACAGGTTATAAATTTTAACCTAGACATAGGAGAAAATTTCGGGAAACAGTTACAAACCCTTGAACCCCCCCCTGCGTGCGTCGCTGATTATACGTACCATAGATTATAAATATAACATAAGTTTTATTTTTAAGAATTATATAAAACATTTAAATGCTTATTCATTATATATTTTTAAACATAGTTTGATTATTCGCACAAATCGTTCTAAACAAATGTATTGACTTACATTGAAGTATTAGTTCCATAACCAGGTTCATTCTCCAATGCTGAAACATTTCTGTCCGTCTATATAATAAATATTTAATAAATTAAAAATAGCTATCACATACACATCATAATTAATATATAGCTATTTTGATTTACCATGTCAGTTGTATGATTTTCTCGCCATTTTTTAAGTGCATTAAAATTTCCTCGATGTTTTTTTATCAGATATTTTCTGCGACGTTTTTTTGGCAAAACGTTCTGCATAATGTAGATATCACAGAATTTATGTTTTATTTTTATATATTTAAGCTGTACTATAAATCAAATACGAATAAGCTACTATAGCTGATTTCTAAAATTTTCATTTTCATTTACAAAATTACCTATGTCCTATCATTGAGTGTTTATTTATAGGCTTTTGAATTATTGCAATATTTAGCCCAATTTCATTTGGGTATAATATAATATAAAATAAACAAATTGATAACGATGCGGGCATTATAATTAGCGGCGCCACGCCGGCGCGGCAATGATTAGCAGAAGAGGGTTACTTCCACACGCTCTTGCACAAGTCAATACACACTGTTGCTAGGAATATGATTTAGTTCTATTTTTTTCGAAAATAATCAATTTTTTGTCAATCATACTGGTTTCCTTGGTCATCGGATAAAACTTCTAAAAACATATTTGAATTTGTCATGAAGTTTACTTGAAATCGACTTTTTTACATTTTCAAATTATTTTATCAATTTTATATTATTTACATTATAAATTTATTATTATTTTAGATTTTAAAATCATTTTTTTAAGGGTATAAAAATAATAATTCAAAAAAGTAAAAATGTCGTTTTCAAGTCAACTTCATGACGAATTCAAATATGTTTGTATGAGTCTTATCCGATCATTGGGCAGTTCAGTACAATTGGCAGAATATAGGTATATTTTGATAGAAAACGTAATCCGGATCGAATCCCGAATTATTAATAATAATAATAATAAATAATTTTAACGAAGCGAGCTTGTTTTATTCAGAAATCTATTCCGGTATAAACGCAGATAATGATCGTGACGGTCGATATCTATTATTATTATTATTATTGACTATCAATACAATTCATAATCATGATACACCGACTGTCGCGCTACGGGTTTTATTTCTATTATTGATTTATATAATGATATAACGCTTCGTCAATGTGAAATTCCTAACCTAATCTATCTACTTGTATATTCCTTGATAAATTTCTGGATTTAAGAATATTTTAACTTTTGTCTTGTGAATGAATGTTTTGTGTTGGCTTGGAAATTATAATTTGATTAATTTGTGTGTTATATATTAGTTTTAATACTTTTTTTTTTCACAGTTGCTATTCGATGAGTTTGGTCCATTGAAAACTGCAGTAGTTCACAATAATAGATCTGGTAGATCTTTGGGAACAGCTGATGTTGTATTTGGCAGTAAAAATTCCGCATTAAAAGTAGTACGTCAATATAATAATGTGCTGCTTGATGGTATCTATTTCAAATATTTTGTAATTTTATAATTTTATTGTTAATTCATTTTATTGATTATTTAAGGTCGCCTTATGAAAATTGAACTTGTAACTGATTTTTCAACTGTTGCCAACCTTGCTACTCGTCTCAGTAGACCAGCACCATTGTCTGTACGATGTATTGGTGATGGTATGTTCCTATTTTGTACTACGGAATATATTTATTTATATATTTTAAATTAAATTATAATAATAATAATTCAAATTCTTTTTTTTTTCAGGAGTAAGAAGTAACCGGGGCAAACATGGAAATATCCGTGGTAACTCCAGAGGACGTGGCGGTAGAGGTGCCAGGAATAGCGAAAAGAAAATGCCAAACAAAGATGAATTAGATGCACATCTTGATAGATATATCAAATTTAACAAAAGCACGAATAATTGATTTCATGTTTAAATTTTTGACTGTTTTATTAAATAAACTAATGTTCGATAGTTCAAACAGTGTTACTAAGTTATTTGTCAGATGACTTAATAATTTCTTGATAGGTTGATAGTAATTTTGACCTGTTGATCTTCATATTTGGTCTTTAATTGTATATTATGTGATTTTGTACTTCATTATGATTTTTATTATATTTTTATATTCAGTCCCAGACATTTTTGTTTATTTTTGAAACTCAAATTATATACTATAATAACGATTTAATGTGTTAATGCAATTAAGAAGTCCTCTGCTTCCAAAGAGATTAAATAGCTTCCAACTAAAGAGCAATAAATGGCAATAAATTAAAATTCCAAAGACATTGGTGATATTAAAAACTAGACTGAATGCAGAATTGTTTTATAATCAATTATAATTATTTATCAAATTTATTTTGTTTATTCATCTAAGTATATACTATATAAGTATATAAGTACTTAATCACGTTTTTTTATTATTTACCCTATTTAAATATATCACTCAATCCATTTCAAGTGTTAGGTATTTAATTTTTTTTTTCGAAATTTATTTTAAATTTTAACTATCAAGACAGTTATAACAATGAGGAAATGACTATTCAGTCATTTTTGTAGGAAAAAAAATTAAAATTTTAAATTAAACAGTTAGGTACTTAGATATTTGTGTGTATATTTTTACCAGAATTTTGAACGCTTAAATTAATTTTCAGTGGTGTTGGGGGTAGGCAGTGGCACTTTTTTGTATACCCTGTAATAGAGGTCTGCGCACGCCTATGTTCATAACATAGGTAATAAAAAAATGGATTTAAATATATACTACCTACATCAGTAGCTTATCGCTACAGCCTACAACACTATTATGTTAATGATGTACTAAAATTTAAGAAATTATTATAAGACATGGATAACATTCATTTGTGAACCCGAAATCAAAAAAATAAATAAATACCGATTTCTGAAACCGAAATTTAAAAAAATAAATATTGATATTCGAAATCAAAAACGAAATTGCAAAAAAAATCTGATATCAATAATCAAAATTGAAATTAAAATCGAAATATTTTATTTCGATTTCAAGCCCTATTATATTTGCAGACAAACGAACTGAGTTATCATAACAATGCTTTGTAAAAATGGAACTTTGTGAACCTAAAATAGTAATATAGTTTTACATATTTAAATATATATACATATTGGTAAACACGGTATGGTATTTTCATAATTGAAAGCAATAATAGCACATTGCTACAATTGAACATTGTTTTAAACGATTTTAATATGTACATTGCGTTATTCAAATGACGTGAAAAGTTCAGTGGTATTTAAAACGTCCGTTGTTGCGTTGATAATAGCACGAGCGTAGAGAGACGTAAGAGCGAAGAGGGTGTCTATATATTGGCTTAAAAAACGTGCATCAAATGGTTTTATACTTGATGAAATTAACGTTTCCACTCGGTCGGATTTCTTTAATTTAGAAATACGACATGGACGTGATGAGTCGCAACGATATTCTCCTTTTTTACGTTTTTATTTTATTTTTTTATTTTTATTATCATTTCGCTACACGAGAGTGTAGCGATACAACAATGTGTAACATTCGTTAAAACTTTTTTTCCCCTACCATTATCCTTTTTTTTACTTTTCCTTCTCCTGTTCTTCATCATTCGCCCGCGCACGTGGAATGATGCAGAATCGGCACCCTGTCTCCGCTTGTTTTTCACCATCTCTTTCCTCGCCGTCACTCCTGTTTTATCGAAACGTCGAAATGCGTAGTAACGTTTTCGGTTCGACGTTAGAAAACTCATTGAAACCTTTTCGCCGTCGACAATTTCTTTTCATGTAAAATGTGCACTACTGAAATATGTGCATATATATTTAGTTATTCGCGCCTTGCAGCATAGAGGTGTCGACGAATCGGATGACTGCGGTGGTGGCGCGGTTCCCGGTGGTAGGGTAGGAATTCTTCGATACAACACGATATTGGAATTTTCTCGTAGAATTTTTTTTTTTTTTAGTTCGTACACGCCATTATGAGAAAATAATGGTGTCAAGGCCTCGGTAATAACGATGGCGGGTGTACACGCAAATATTGTGCATTCGGGAGAGTGAGTCGACGGTGAGTTATGTGGTCGGGGAGGATAGAAATGGTCACCAGGGGTTATGCTTCCAATCGGACGAAAAGAAAGTGCCGCGCGTGCGCGTTACACCAGGAGCGTAATTTAGGAGGGAGACAAAGGAGCGGTTGCCCCCCTCCACCTGAATCTGTATTTAAAGAATGGATTATATGTAAGATACACATTTCAAATTTTTTTAATATGGATAATTTTATAACGAAATAAAATTACACGTGGCTGTAAATACTGAATTGGGCTTTTGGTCTGGTCTATACTTAGTGAAAAATCAAATAAAACACAAGCGTAACTTTCAAAATACCAATAGGTGTTAAAAAAGAACAACCCAAAAGTCGATTCTAAGTGGATCCGTCATTAGATTAAAAAAAAAAAACACAAATATTAAGGATTCACCTGATTTAAATATTATCAAAAATTTTACTTGTAAATTTTGAGCCTGAATTAAAAAAAAAACTTGAGTTACCTCCCTTAGAAGTAAGTCTAAATACGCCCCTGCGTCCCTATTTGATGCTGCGGGTAGCCGGAGGACGACCAAGGACGAGGCTCGTCAAACAGTGCTGCATTGGTAATATCCGTCAGCGGTCTGTACGTTGTACAATAACGATAAGAACCGCAAAAACGTCGTTATGATCGTCGTCAGCAGTGTGCCCTGACGTTCGTTATACCGTTTGATATTCGAATTAGCAGAATTAATGTTTTTTTTTTTACTGTCTAGTCATCGCAGGTTCCTTTTACACTACATAGTGTTCGAACGCTTCGACCATAACTCGAGAAACACGTGCTTTTAATGTACACACCAGTGTGTATTATAACGGAAAAATGTTTCCAAATTGAAATGATAATAGTCGCACGGAGCAACGGGTCGAAAAACGTATCGATTATGAGGGCGAAACGAGCCGGTTTACTTTGGCCGTGTTTTTAGGACGGATCCTCCGGTCGTCTCTCTCAGCACCGATCGTTTTAATCCGATACGGATTTCGATAATGACACATCATTATAGCATCATTTAAACGATATGATTTAAAAGAGTTTTGGGACGGCATGGGTCATCGCGCGTAATATCGGAAAGGATAGAACGAGACGTTCCATCACCTGATATTGAAAAATTAACCAAATGACTACCACGCGTGATATGACCGCACAAATTTTTGCTACGTGATTGATTGTACATGACAATTATTCACTAATTACCAAATTCCATCACTCGCGATGGAACGAGTATTTATAATGCGAGAGGACAAGACTGTCAATGTGAATGAGGTTTACACATGATTTTATAAACGATGGAGTTTCCTCCAGTAATTTTAAAAATTAGACCACTTTCCTTTATAAATTTAGTACCTTGTACCTATACAAAGGTATTGAAGTGCTTGATTCGTTTTGGTTTTTGATTTTTACGTTTAACAGTTAGAGATAAGGATAGGACGGAGATTACAAACAAGTACCTACTAGCGAAGTTAAAACCAATGATACTGATTTGGACCAACAATTATTTATGGGGGGGGGGGGGTGTTAAGGATAACTCTATAAGTAGTAGAGTATTATCGTCGAAAAAATCGTACATTAGCAAACAGTAGCCAAGTGGTTTCTCCCACTGTGCAATACCACTGCAGATTATACTAAGAGGATGGACTGTGTGTTTTAATTTTCCCACTGGTAGCAAAGGATGGCCTGTCCTCTGTTTTTTTTTTTTTTTTTTGAAAATATTGAAGCAAACAACGAATGCATTGAGACATATAATCTATCACTTGTTTTTGTCATCTACTTAATATATATATTTTTATAAATCATTTACTGAATCATTTGCTTGTTTTTACACGTAAGGTTTTAAATACATGAGATAGAATGGCGCGTTCCAAATCCGTCCTTATTCCTCTTCGTCTAAACGCAGCTATTGTTCGCGTAATTTTACCTATCAGCGCCTGCAGTGCGATTATCGTTTGAAATGAACAGAAACCAAAGAGTGATAGGAAACACCGTCGAATAGTTGCTACGAAGTATTTTTCTAATGAAACACACGATATGCAGTGAATTTGTTGTAAAGGAAAGGGGCTCTGCAAAAACTGATCTGAAATTTGTCGGTTGTTAACTTCTGATTAATGAATAGCGTGATTAATGAACACGTTGTTCATAAATGATATAAAATTGACAAAGAAAATGTTTTGTTTTATAATCGTTTTTCATAAATAATAAACGAAACCGTAATGAAAATGTATTGATTTGGTTTTTTCGAAGACTGTAGAAACTGTATAAATATATTCAAATATTAAAATTAGTATACGAAAATTACGAAATACAAATGTAATGAGGAAAAACAAAATAATAAACGTAAGTATTATTTTATTATACCTTATCATATTTGTTCATTGTATATAATGTACAGATTGTAAATTTTCAATAAACGCCATTTAATAAAAATAAAAAGTAATATTTTCTTCCTCCACGAAAACATGTCTAAACAATTTTATATTAAAAGACACCTAACACCATAAACATAAGTATGTACATATATATTATATGGTAATGCTGTAAGCGAATTATTTCCTATTTTATTTTTCGCGACATCCGCAAAAGCGTCCGCTGCGGCGCGCTGTAGAACACTTCGGTGTCTTATAAGAACCACGATATTACGTGTAATTAATGCTAACATTGATGTAGTTGACACGGTCGTATCGCACGAATACCGCGATCTCACCCGTTACACACCTTTGCCGTGGTATCGCCATTCGTTCGATTATCAATCGGGACACCCGATAGATTAATCGAACCAGTTTTTTGAGTCGGCGATGAGCCCCGAAGCGCTCGCGGACAATGCGACAACCGTCGCGAGCGACGGCAGCGTTTGTCTGCT